AAAAATATGGAACGCTTCACGAATTTGCGTGTCATCCTTGCGCATGGGCCATGCTAATCTTCTCTGTATTGTTCCAATTTTATGTCCTGAATTAAGCTTTCTGCCACAAGAGGCAAGCTAAAAATATGGAACGCTTCACGAATTTGCGTGTCATCCTTGCGCAGGGGCCATGCTAATCTTCTCTGTATCGTTCCAATTTTAGTATATGTGCTGCCGAAGCTAGCACACTGGACAAGGGAATCTCCTAGCTATATATACCCCGCCATGCGCCCCTCTCTCTAACTTAGGGAGAGGAGATATTGAAAGAAATAGTGCTCTCTCGGTGAAACCTTCACCACACATGCAACAGTAAGAGTACAGGAAGCATAGCTTCTTCACAAATCTAGATTGGAAGGATGACGCATCTTGGACAATTCCCACGGCATTATTGTGGAAAGCGTTTCACCAAGATAGCACTATTTATTTCAAAGCCAATTCAAGGCCCTTGCGGGGGATACACCCAAGTTTGGTCAGGAACTGGACCATATTAGGATCCACCTCAGGTGTCTCATAGACACGGCCTGGCACCAACGGGCAAGGGCTTTCAGCTCAGAGTTTACTCCGTGTAGCCTTGAGAGGGAGTGTCTCACCCTCAACTGCAAATATAAAGTCACATGGTTAACAGGAACCCACTCTGCTGATCTGGGGTGATGCAGGGATCCAGAATAGTGTCTGAATGTGACCCGGGTTTAGAGTTGCCTTTAGGATTCTGAGATAGGGCAGGGCTAGGTTTAGGGACTTGTCCATATACTCGGCAGCAGGGGAGCTGTCGTCAGACTCCAAGGCAGACTCCATCAAAGCCTCCTCTTTAGACCCGAATTCTATTTCGGAGTCGTTATCAGATAGTGCTCTGGCACTTCTATATTTACGCGTCCATTCTGCCTGACGCGGTAAGGCCCTTTTGCGTGCTAATTCAATGCTATCTGGGATGGCTTTATTACCATCAATCACAGAGGTTCTGGAGGCAGGCGATGGCAAGTGGCGTGATTCTACAATCGCCTTTTTGCCTATAGCTTTAGGGGACCTGTGCCGATTCCCTGTAGGGGCCCGCTATAGATGCAGGACCCTGGTGGGGGCAGGTTGAGTCTGCATCAGTGACTGGGCAATGGACTGTGAGAAAAAGGATGACATATTCCCCATGGCAGATAGAATGGCATCAGACAGGGAACGCTGAAATGCCATAGCAACATCCCCTGGGACAATAGGGGTATTGTCCCTGGGCTCAGAGGTCATAGATCTCATGATCAGGGGAAGGACCTGAACTTAGCTCCCTGCTAGGTGAGGAGGGGGCTGCTTATACTGAGGCATGGTATATAATGGGTCAGAGGCAGCCAAGGAGAGCACAGAGGGTAACTCACAGGAGGTACAGCCACCAAAGAGCACACATAGGAGCAGAGAGGCCGAGCAGGACCAGAAGCGAAGGGGCGTGGTTTGATGGCGTCACACGCGTGGCCCGATACTGCGATAAATCGATGTCATTACACAAAAAAATTGGGGAAAATGTGGTTAGAAGGTGAGCAAGGGCCTAGGGGTACCAGTAGATACCAATTGGGACCCCAAAACAAGCGTTCTGCGGCATACAGGAGTCGCAAAAACACGAAAAACATATACAGCAATTATCAAGTGTTAAAAGGAGGTCTGAAAAATACTTAGCTTGCATCCAGAGCAGCAAAGAAAAAGGAAGTTGAAGGGTGGGATCCTGGATTATAGGGATGCCTGCTCATGAAGGGGTGGAGTTTAGGAGGTGACATGTTAGCATCCTTTTTTCTCTGCTCCTGCATGTTAAGTAAAGAAAGAGATATACACAATATGATCCTCCGTGTCTTGAAATATAATTCGGATTTTGTGCCTTCTTTTGGAATAATAGAATACAAGAATAGGCTTCAGGGTTGAACTTGATGGACTTTAGCCTTTTTTTAACCTAGACAACTTTGTAAGTAACTATAAGCAACTAACTAATTTAAATGCAGTGTACATTTGGTAACGTTGCTTGCAAACTGTATCAGTTCAGGAAAAGTTTTTTCTGGTGTTTGTTTTGCTAATGTGCAACCACTTTGCTAATTTCATGCAATATATAGCCCTTCTATAGAACCTAGTGCAGGGGTAGGCAACCTTTTAGCAGCACTGTGCCCAGTGGTGTATCCTGGTTTTGTGCTGCCCTAGACAAAACTCAGGCGCCCCCCACCCACCCGCGTCAGCCCCACCCAACCCTTCCCCCCGCCCCGCCTTCTAAATACACACACACACATTCACTGACAGATACGCATACACACGCTAACAGACAGGGCCGGACTGGCCCACCGGGATACCGGGAAATTTCACAGCTCACACATGGCCGGCCGGGATCATTAAAAATATATATATATAAAAAAAATTGGTGGCGGGGGCGGGGCTTACGTGCGGCGGGGCGGAGCTTAGAGTGCGGCAGGGGCCTGGCTGACTGCAGCATGGGAAGCAGGAAGGAGTCCCTGCTTCCCCAACAACCACCTCCAGGAGCTCCAAGCAGGAGGTAAGAAGCAGGTCAGTGTGTAAATGTGAGTGTGTGACTGCCTGTGAGTGTGTGACTGTCTGTGTGTGACTGTCTGTGTGTGACTGTCTGTGTGAGTGTTTGACTGTCTGTGTGAATGTGTGACTGTGAGTGTGTGACTGTCTGTGTGAGTGTGTGACTGTCTGTGTGTGACTGTCTGTGTGAGTGTGTGATTGTGTGAATGTGTGACTGTGAGTGTGTGACTGTCTGTGTGTGACTGTGAGTGTGTGACTGTCTGTGTGAGTGTGTGACTGTCTGACTGTGAGTGTGTGACTGTCTGTGAGTGTGTGACTGTCTGCCTGTGTGTGCGTGACTGTCTGCCTGTGTGTGACTGTCTGCGTGTGTGTGTGTGTGACTGTCTGCCTGTGTGTGAGTGTGTGGCTGTCTGCCTGTGTATGTGTGTGGCTGTCTGGCTGTCTGCCTGTCTTTGTATGTGTGGGTGTTTGCCTCGGTGTCAGTGACTGTCTGCCTGTGTGTGTGTGGCTGTCTGCCTGGGTGTCAGTGACTGTCTGCCTCTGTGTGTGTGTGTGCGCGCATCTGCTAGTGAGGGAGCCTCTGTGTGTGTGTGTGTGTGTGTGTGTGCCTGCTAGTGAGTGAGCTTGTATGTGTGTCAGTGAGCTTGTCTGTAGGGATCATATGTGTGTGTGTGTTAGTGAGCTTGTCTGTAAGGAGCATGAGTGTGTCGGAGCCTGTCTGTGGTGAGCATGTGTGTACAGTGAGCTTGTCTGTAGTAAGCATGAGTGTGATCGTGAGCTTGTCTGTAGTGACCATATGTGTGTCAGTGAGCTTGTCTGTAGTGAGCATGTGTGTGTCAGTGAGCTTGTCTGTAGTGAATCTGTGTGCTAGTGAGCTCTTCTGTAGGGAGCGTGTGTGTCAATGGGCTTGTCTGTAGGGAGAGTGTGTGCGCATCAGTGAGCTTGTCTGTAGTGAGCGTGTGTGTGTGACAGTGAGCTTGTCTATAGTAAGCTTGTGTGTGTGTATCAGAGTTTGTCTGTACTAAATTTGTGTGTGCGCCAGTAACCTTGTCTGTGTGTGTCATTGTCTGTCAATGAGCCTATTTGTGTGCATCAGTAAGATTGTCTGTCTGTGTGTGACTTTGCTTTACTGTATAATTTAATTACCCTAAAAGAACTAATATTTTGAATTAGAATAAGAAATGTATCAATAAAAAAAAATATATATATATATGCTAACGCCTACATGTACGTATATGAAAAACAATTCATCTTGACTCCATATGGCCACTTGATACAAGGATACTATAGGTACATCGATGACCTAATTATTTGGAAAGGTACAGATTTGGAAGCACAGGACATGTTGGAGGATCTTAATAAGCTACCAACACCAATTAGATTCACAGCCCAAATCAGTTCTGAGAAAGTCCAGTATTTGGACGTGGAGTTATCCGTCGGGGTTGATAGGCTTGAGTATAGTCTCTATACCAAAACGACGGATCGGAATACATTGTTACACGCATTAAGTGCCCATCCACAAGCGCTCATCAAGTCTCTTCCAAAAGCCCAATATCTAAGGGTGATGCGAAACAACTCCAATGATCTCATTAAAGAAAAACAATTGTCAGAAATGACGGAGAAGTTTTTGCAACGTGGCTACAAACGTTCTATTCTGGATGAAGCCTTGAATGAAGTGAGACAACCACGAGTATCTAATGAAGAAAGTCCTAAGCATAAAGCAATCCAAAAGTTGGTTTTTCCCACCATGTACCACCAGACCACTAAAACTATCTCCTCAACCATTAGGAAGAACTGGAGAATTTTGGCTGCGGATGACACACTCCTTAAGGTCTTTTATGAGAAACCTTTAATTTGTTTCAAACGAAACAGAAATTTGAAAGATCTTTTGGTCCATACAGACCCTGTTTCAAGTTATACAGAAAAGACCACTGCTCAAAATCGGGGTTGTGTCCGCTGTCTAGGATGCGTCACTTGGAGTCATATGACACCATCTAAAACCTTTTCTCACCCTCACACCAATAAGCAATACTCCATCAGAATGACTATTACATGCAAAACAACACATGTCATATACAAATTGACATGTCCATGTGGCCTAGCATACATTGGCAAAACGGAAACCGCATTATGCAAGAGAATTCGAGGACACCGGTCCAGTATTAGGTTGGCGTATAGAGACGGAACGTCGGATAAACCTGTAGCCAAACATTTTTTGGAACTCAAACATCCGCTATCTTCTTTGAAATTCGTAGCCATAGACCATATCCCATTGTCCAACAGGGCAGGGGATCGAGGAAAAGCGCTATTGAATAGAGAAACTTACTGGATCTATTATTTGGACACAGTGTCCCCAAAAGGTTTAAATGAACATATCTCTTTTCACTCATTTTTATAATGCACTAATAGTCTATTTAGGATACCTCAGTCCAGTATACGACAGTGGCTGTTGCTGTTGTAATTTCCAAAATAGAAATTTTCTTCCAATGTGTGGCTTAACATATGCTTCATTCCTGTTGAAATCACTATGCTGCTATAGTACACTAAGTACAGTACACATTGATATTCAATATACTGTTAATAGTAATTCCAGATACCCATAATCATAGGGGGTATTGAGCTCCAGCTAGTACTATTATTTTAAATGTATTTTATGTGGTTTAGGTTCAATTAATATAAGTTGGGACACTGACCATAATATGGTAGTAATCAAATATTCCATTAAGGCATTTAAGCTATGTATATGGCAAAGCCCTGCAATGTAGCTATATTTATATTTATGAGCAACATTGATCATGTGGGTGTCACTGATATTATTGGATCTAATTGTATGGGTTTGATGTGTTAATATTTTTTATGTACATTGGTGTTGCCTATAAGATACTATGTTTCAGTGAATTTTTAAATCAAGTTTGCACTTCTATTTTCACATGTCACTTTGTTCTTGCACTTTAAGCACTTTTTTTTGGTAATCATTGACACTTTTTTAGTAATTTTTGGCACTTTAAATTATTTGCACTTTAGACCTACAGGTCCTATTATATAGAACCATTTAGTTATGGTCCTTTTTATATTACAGAGCATGCACTTTTCATTAGCACTTTAAAATGCAATGCACTCATTGAGGGTGATCCAACAGATCATCACTTTATTACTGAGCCACTAATACTGTATAGCTCACTTTACACATCTTTCCCAACACTTAATATACCATCTCATTCTATCACTCATTAATCACTCAGTATCCCTGAGCACTTTATCCCATTCAGATGATGTCGGCAGTGTGTCCTTTCATCTCCGTGGTGACGCATTGTTTTAGCGGTCACCATGGCGACGGACGGCACACGGAGTGACGTCATCCAGAGCGTAGCGTGTATACGTGGGCGCACAGGAAGCCGAGCGAAGCCGGCAGCACGCCGAGTTTCACCTAGGCGACGCACCAGTTTGGTGGTCGCCATGGAGATAAACATTATACGTCTGTTTGTGATGACGTTGTTTGAGGGCGGAGCATGTCCGCGCAGGCGCACTGGGCATACAGGGACGCCGGTAACACGCTGAGTTCTGTTTGGGGTAAGCTTATTCATTCTATGATGCTCACATATTTGTCTAATTTACTTGATTAGAATAATTGTATAGGGTGTATATAAACTGTTTGTCTGTCTCATTAATCTTATGATCCTGATGAAAGTCTGTGGTGACTGAAACGTTGATCTTGGATTTTTTAACTATTTATCATTAAATTTTGGACTTTTATTACGTGAGTGCAGCCATTTACTTATGTTCCTTATATATATATATATATATATATATATATATATATATATATATATATATATATATATATATATATATATATATAGGCAATTGAAATAGTTGTTCCTTAAAATGTTACTTTTGTTGAAATATTTAAGAGAAGATCAACGTTTCAGTCCCTCTTGTGGACTTGCATCAGGATCATGACGAAAGTCCACAAGAGGGACTGAAACATTGATCTTCTCTTAAATATTTCAATAAAAGTTACATTTTCAGGAAATCCGAGAGTGCAGCCAACTATTTCAATTGCATATATATATATATATATATATATATATATATATATATATATATATATATATATATACCGTATATACTCGAGTATAAGCCGACCCGAATATAAGCCGAGGCCCCTAATTTTACCCCCAAAAACTGGGAAAACGTATTGACTCGAGTATAAGACTAGGGTGGGAAATGCAGCAGCTACTGGTAAATTTCTAAATAAAATTAGATCCTAAAAAAATTATATTAATTGAATATTTATTTACAGTGTGTGTATGAGTGCAGCATGTGTGTATGAGTGCAGCGTGTGTGTATGAGTGCAGCGTTTGTGTATGAGTGCAGCGTTTGTGTATGAGTGCAGTGTGTGTGCATAAATGCAGTGTGTGTATGAGTGTGCAGTGTGTGTATGAGTGCAGTGTGTGTGTTTGTGTTGCAGAGCCTTAGTGGGGGGTGGGCATTTTTATTAAAAAAAAATTATTATTATTTAAAAAAAATTTGTTATATTATTGTTTTTTAATTATTTTTTTATTATTATTTTTATTATTTATATATTATAAATGTATTTATTATTATTTTTATTTATATATTATTAATTTATTTATTTGTTGTCCCCCCTCCCTGCTTGATACATGGCAGGGAGGGGGGCTCTCCTTCCCTGGTGGTCCAGTGGCATTGGCAGTTCAGTGGGGAGAGGAGGGGGGCTGGCAGCGAGCGCTTACCTCTCCTGCAGCTCCTGTCAGCTCTCTCCTCCTCTGCGCCGGTCCGTGCAGCTCTTCTCTCAGCTCACACTGTAAGTCTCGCGAGAGCCGCACTATGACCCCGCGGCTCTCGCGAGACTTACACTGGGAGCTGACCGAGGTGCTGACCGGACCGGCGCGGAGGAGGAGAGAGCTGACAGGAGCTGCAGGAGAGGTAACAGCTCTGCCAGCCCCCAGTCTGTATTATGGCAATGTAAATTGCCATTATACAGACAGTGACTCGAGTATAAGCCGAGTTGGGGTTTTTCAGCACAAAAAATGTGCTGAAAAACTCGGCTTATACTCGAGTATATACGGTATATAAACACCCTACATAGCACAATGACTTATGGGGCTGGCATAGATCTTTTTCCAGGGCTGCTTCGTATCCCCAGTCCGGCCCTGCTAACAGACACACACACTCACTAACAGACACACACACACTCACTCTAACAGACACACACACACACACTAACAGACACACAGACACACACACACTGACACACTGGGCATTTGGTGGCGGCGTTTTTTGCCGCCCCCTGAAAAATGCCGCCCAAGGCAAATGCCTTGTTTGCCTCGCGGCTAAAACACCCCTGACTGTGCCGAAATATGATTGTGATGTCCCGTAGCGTGTCGGTCAGATTTCTTTAAATTTAGGTGTGCATGTTGCCATATTCTGCTTGTGTTATTTATACTGCAGTTGCTTTGTATCGTTGTATTTGTGCGTATATGAGCTACTATATTGTATATGTTTACAAGTAGTTTGTGGTGTTGTGTATGATACCTATGAATGTAGGCTGTGTATGGGGGCTGCTTGTGGAATTGTGTGTGGATGGATATGTCACATTGTGTGTTTGGTAGTGTGTGTATGTGTGGGGCTGTTTGGGGTATTGCATGTGGAGAGGCTGCATGTCGGGTTGTGTGCATATATGTGCATTGTTGGTGGTGTTGTGTTTGTGCGGACTGTGTGTTTGTATTATTTCTATGAGGGGAGGGTTATTCTGCAGCTTTGAGGCTTCCCTGGGTTTTAGTGGGGACCAGGCTGGTCAGGTACAGCTCAAGGACAGAAGCTGCAACAGGAAGCTGTGGGCTGCTCTACTCCAGTGTGGATTCCCATTCACAAGTGCTGGGATCACTGAGATCACTTCCTCTACATGCTGCAATGCATAAATGGAGGATTGTCCTTCACAACCTTTTCGTATTAGTAGATATCTGAAGCTTCAATGGGACTCCTGACATGCCAGAGCCTGTTTGGCTCTTGTAGCCTTGAGTGCCGTGCAAAGACACCTCGAGTGCCATGCATGGCACTAGTGCCGTAGGTTGTCTACCCCTGACCTAGTGCAATGAAAGTAGAATTGTGTGATATCTGAGCTATATGTACAACCCTATAGCTAACAAAAAGTATATAAAGTATATATTATAGGCTGTTACTTGGTTGGGATTTCTCTGACTTGCAGCATCACCCCCCTCAGCATCAACCCCCCACCACCCTCAGTATCACCCCCACCCCCCTCAGCGTCACCCTCCCCCCACCCTCAGCATCAGGGTGAGGGTGGTGGGGGGTGGTGGTAGGGGGATGCTCGAGGAGGGTGGGGGTGATGCTGAGGGTGGTGAGGGGATGATGGTGAGGGTGGTGGGGTGATGCTGAGGGGAGGTGGGGGGTGATGCTGAGGGTGGTGAGGGGGGTGATGCTGAGGGTGGTGGGGGGTGATGCTGAGGGAGGTGGGGGTGATGCTGAGGGTGGTGGGGGGGTGATGCTGAGGGAGGGGGGAGATGGGAGAGAGAGGGGGGGATCTGATGGCCTACCTTGATTTATTGCCTGGTGGTCCGGTGGGCTCCCTGGTGGTCCGGTGGCCATCATTTCCGGTCTGCAGCTCTGCTGACCATGTTATCTCGCGAGACCATCAGCATCACCCCCCTCACCACCCTCAGCATCACCCCCACCCCCCTCAGCATCACCGCCCCCCCATCCTCAGCATCAGGGTGAGGGTGGTGGGGGTTGATGCTGAGGGTGGTGAGGCTGAGGGTGGTGAGGGTGGTGATGGTGAATGCTGAAGAATTGTGTCTGGGGAGAGTGATGCTGAGGGTGGTGGGGGTGATGCTGATGGGGGTGGAGGGTGATGCTGAGGGGTGGTGGGGAGTGATGCTGAGGGAGGGGGGAGATGGGAGAGAGAGGGGCGGATCTGATGGCCTACCTTGATTTATTGCCTGGTGGTCCAGTGGGCTCCCTGGTGGTCCGGTGGCCATCATTTCTGGTCTGCAGACCATGTTATCTCGCGAGACCATCAGCATCAGGGTGGTGGGGGGGTGATGCTGAGGGTGATGAGGTGGGTGATGCTGGAGGGTGGGTGGTGGGGGATGATGCTGATGGGGTGGAGGGGTGATGCTGAGGGTAAGTGGTGGGGGTGATGCTGAGGGTGGTGGGGGGTGATGCTGAGGGAGGGGGGAGATAGGAGAGAGAGGGGGGGATCTGATGGCCTACCTTGATTTATTGCCTGGTGGTCCAGTGGGCTCCCTGGTGGTCCGGTGGCCATCATTTCCAGTCTGCAGCTCTGCAGACCATGTTATCTCGCGAGACCATCAGAGCGTTGCCGTGGTAACCCGCGGCAACGCTCTGATTGGCCAGTTTTCGCGAGACACATGGTCTGCAGCTCTGCTCACTGCAGAGCTGCAGACTAGTGTCTGCGATGGTGGCCGGGCAGCCAGCAGGGGCCTCGCATCCAACGGCATACCGGGCAAGCTGCCGGCCCCCTCCTGGTGTTAGGTCCTCGGTCACTGACTGAGGACCTGACACAGTCTGCCCTCAGACGGTTTAGGCGGCCGCGAGGCCTTAGGCGGCCACCTAAACCACCTAATTAGAGAGCAATCCCCAGAGTGAAGATATAGCAATCCCCAGAGTGAATATAGTTCTCCAATTCCCCCAAACATGAGCCAAGACTTCATGAAGGGGTAAACGAATCTCAGTTTAATGGGAGCCAGACTTGGCCTTATAAGACAATCCACATGGATCTGATGGTAGACTTATTCACAACGTCACGTACATTTTTACTAAATACTTTTCTAAGTGACAGATTTTGGTGAGACAGTCCTCATTTCAGGATCCTGTCCCAAAAGCGAGCCACCAGGGAATTATCCCAGGAAACCCAAAGCATTAGACATGCTCGCACTACGCTAAGGGCACTAGGACTGCTGTGGCTGCACTCTCTGCATAGTATGACCTTCATGGGGCTGACCTGTGTCAATAGCAGTTAGCCTGGCATGCATGCCCACTCTTGCACCATTTCTGGGGGGTCCGCCTCTTTGGCAGCACCAGTGATGTAGTTCATGTTACAGCCCTTCTCCCTTTTATGCAACTCATCAGTTTCCTGGTTCAAGAGATGTCAATTTGGGGGTATGCTTTCATGTGCTGCCCAAACACATGATAAAATGATGTCCACAAAAACATGGTGGCTATGTAAACCTTAATTACATGCGCACTTTAAAACAAATAATTTTGTGAACAAGTGTTCACATGTACAATCCAACCATAAGCATAGATCTAATTTATAAAGATAAAGTCTTTTTACAAGTAATTTAGCACACTATATCCATTTCTGTTTGTTTGTTTTTTTTTGCATTCTAATAATTTATAATTGGACTTTTACCCCTCGTGTAGCAGATTACTACAAACCAACAAACACACCCAACTACACAGACTTGTTCCCCTTCTAGTTTATCTGACAAAACCCGTTCTTCCTCATTTTAAAAAGATGTTTTAGTTCCCTTGCCCACCCTGAAGCTCGTCAGTGCCTTGTGCTCGCAAACCAGGAACTTGTCATGTGACTGATCAGAGCTCAACATGGCGGCGCCCAGGACTGATCAGGCTGCCTGTACAGCGCCTTACAATAGTCGTGCCGGCTCATTAGTTTACAATGCAAGACGTGTTGGTCAGAAGGATATATTAAGGCTCCTGTGGATTGTGCAGTCTTGGATCTGTGTTAGTGCCAGGTAAACGGGGAGGGGGGTGTTATTACTGTTACTGTCCTCCCGTGCGCCTACACTTGTTCCTCGGCTCAGCTGACTGATTGCTAAACATTACGTCCTCTAAACCGGGATCACAGGGTTTAGTACATGTTTTTACATTTTCTCTTTAATATAAGTGTAGCCTTTGATTTATAGTCACAAGCACAGTAAGACTAGAGAGTTGTTGTTTTTTTCAGTTTTAATATCACTTTTGATGTTCAGTCCTTTGTCATTCCAACTGTTGATTAACCCCTTTAAGGACCACACTTCTGGAATATAAGGAATCATGACATGTCACACATGTCATGTGTCCTTAAGGGGTTAAAGCAGCACTGTCATGGGTGCATGCGGTTTTTTAACCCCCCTCCTGACTCCCACTTTACAGTGTTTTGATGATTACTGTATAAATCCCTGCACATATTTTCCTATAATTAATGATAAAATGCAGTATTGGCAATAAATGTAATTTTTAACATTTCGAAAATAGTCTAAAGAAATAAGCCACCTAAAGCTGTGCATATCTCCAAATGCAATACAAGTGAGAAAAACCTAAAGTAATATTAAATGAACATTCTTAGCATCAGAATCACTACAACTTAATGTAGTAGTTTTGGAGATAAGGGCTAGTCCATGGATGTTGACAAATGTTAACCCTGCCTTTTCTATGGAAAGGCTGTGTTGTGTTTATATGTATCCATCCCTAAGCACAAGCAGTGGCGGATCCAGGGGGGGGGGGGCAACGGGGCAATTGCCCCCCCTCCCCTCGGCAGGGGCTCGGTCGGGTGCTGCAGCCCTTTGGCAGACAGGGCCCCTTTAAAGTTGCAGGGAGTGCTGGGAGGAAGTGACTGTTACTTCCTCCCAGCATACAGACCGCGCGGGCTGAGAACACCCAGGATGCAGCTGGGAGAGAAGACACAGGCAGCAGGCAGCTGGAAGAGAAGGAGGAGGGAGGAGAGAGAGCTCTGCAGCTTCAGACTCCCATCAGGCTCAGCCAGCCTCAGGAAGTCACCTTCCTGCAAAGAAAAAGGTATTTAAGCAGAGGGGAGGGTGCTTAACATTATGGAAGCTGCAATTTGTGTGTGTGTCAGTGTGTATGTTTAGATATGTGGACATCTGTGTGTGTCAGTGTGTATGTTTAGATATGTGGACATCTGTGTGTGTCAGTGTGTATGTTTTATGTATGTGGACATCTGTGTGTGTCAGTGTGTATGTTTTATGTATGTGGACATCTGTGTGTGTCAGTGTGTATGTTTTATGTATGTGGACATCTGTGTGTGTCAGTGTGTATGTTTTATGTATGTGGACATCTGTGTGTGCCAGTGTGTATGTTTATGTATGTGGACATCTGTGTGTGTCAGTGTGTATGTTTATGTATGTGGACATCTGTGTGTGTCAGTGTGTATGTTTAGGTATGTGGACATCTGTGTGTGTCAGTGTGTATGTTTAGGTATGTGGACATCTGTGTGTGTATGTTTAGATATGTGTACATCTGTGTGTGTCAGTGTGTATGTTTAGGTATGTGTGTATGTGTGCATCTGTGTGCCAGTGCGTATGTTTAGGTATGTGGACATCTGTGTGTGTATGTGTGCATCTGTGTGCCAGTGCGTATGTTTAGGTATGTGGACATCTGTGTGTGTCAGTGTGTATGTTTAGGTATGTGGACATCTGTGTGTATCGGAGTGTCAGTGTGTGAATCTGTGAGTATGTATCTGTGTGTGTGTACCACAGACAACGTCGTCCACTGCACTCAGGTTCCGCTTTTCACTCTGGTCCACAGCCTCAAAGGTGCTCTGGAATAGATAGACACTGCTAATCCGTCCAACAATACAAGGTAATAGAATATACAGGCAACACACCAGGTACCGAAGGTGTATTTATTCGAGGTTAGAACACCACATAAAAGTGCAACTTTTCAGCCCTAGAGGGACTTAAACATGATTAAGGCCCCCAAGGGCTGAAACGTGTTCTACCCTCCAATAAATACACCTTCAGTACCTGGAGTTATGCCTGTATATTCTATTACCTTGTATCTGTGTATGTGAAGGTATGTGTGTCATTCTGTGTATGTGTAGGGATGTGTGTGTGCGGTTTCGCCAGTGTGCATGTGTAGGTATGTGTGTATCTATGTGCCAGTGTGTGTGTGCCTGTGTAGGTATAGGTTTGTATCTGTGGGTGTGCCAGTGTATGTGTCTGTATCTGTTATTGTGTTTCCATATCACTGTGTGTGGCCGCATATGTGTACAGCCTCTATCCCCTAAACAAGAGTCCCCTATTCCTCCGCTGCAGCCTGTTTCACCCCGCTCTAGCCCACTTAAGTGCCCCTCCCGAGATTTGGTTCTGGATCCGCCCCTGAGCACAAGACCAGTGTGGTGGTGTACTAAAGATACAACTTCTTTATTCAATCTAAAAAGGCACCACTATAATCACTACAGACACTACTTTTTTGCATTTAATGTTTGTTTTTGTTTTTTACCACAGTCTGAAAATTAGGGATCGACCGATATTGATTTTTTTAGAGCCAATACTGATAATCTGTGAACTTTCAGGCCGATAGCCGATAACTTACCAATATTCTGTACATTTACCATTTTAAAATAATAAACTATTTCTAAAGATAAATGCACAAAATATACATGCCACATGTAGTGGATGCAGTGGGTTTAGACAGGGGAGCTGTATGTTTGTGTTTGTGTAGTGTGAATGCAGTGAGTGTGTAGTGTTTTTGTGTGTTGTATGTATAGTGAATGTGGTGTGTGTAGTATGCGTAAAGTGAATGCAGTGTGTGTGTGTAGTGAATGTAGTGTGTGTATATAATAAATGGAGAGTGTTTGTGTAGTGTGTGTATAGTGAATTCAGTGGGTGCATATAATGAATGCAGAGTGTGTTTGTGTAATGTGTGTGTGTGTGTGTGTGTGTGTATAGTGACTGCAGTGTGTGTGTGTGTTTGTGTAATGAGTGTATATAGAGAATGCAGTGTGTGTGTGTATATAATGAATGCAGAGTGTGTGTGTGTAGTGTAAAATGGGG